AGAAATTCAAGGTCACCCTTATAACACTCCACCAGCTAAGCTGTTTATTTCTAAATAAACCAGGCTACATTAGAAGGTGTTTAGGAGATCTCGCCACCCCTGCTAAGCTGCGAGCGCCTTCAGAAGGGCCCCTTTGTCCTCCCCACCCCAAAGCTGCCTCCTTTCAGGCACCTAATAACTGTTAAAGTGTGTTGACTAAACGGATAAATCATAAAATGTATTATTTTGTTATATAGTTTTGCTTTTGTTGATCCTTTGTGTTGTTGATGTAGTCCTACTGTGCCAAATGGAAGGGGCCATTGGATGCTGCAATGTAGTAGGATGCCGCTGGAGGTCAGCCTGGCAGAGCGGCAGCAGAGAGCTCTGTTTTGCTTGGGAGTTCTGGGGTGTGAATTTGATTCGGTTTCCGCTGTTAATAGTGCATGCGTCCTTTGATCCACAGCTTTCTCTCCCATCATATGGGGATAAATATCTACTTTGGGAGTGGCAGTAAGGGGAAAAACCTTATATTTTTATGAAGCCTTAACACTGTACTTGACATTAGAAATGCTTAGTCAAACTCTGGGTTAGTTTTTAGTCTTTCTGCAGGTCCATGTGTCTAAAGGTCTAAAACCGTCAGAATAGTGTCTCATATTTTTCTACCAGGTTACAGCCTCCGAGGACTGTCACATACATTGGATCCTTTGATCCTCAATAATATCAACAGCGACAGTCATCATTATTAACATTTATATGGTACTTCTGATGTACCGGAAACAGTTCGTATCAATCAGTTCTCCTGTAAGTTCCCTACAGCTGTTAAACTCACTTATTCCTTACAGTCATCTCAGGAGGTAGGTACTGTCACCATGCCCAGTTTAGAGATGGGGAAATTAAGACTTAGGTTAAGTAACTTGTCCAAGTTCACACAGCTGATAAGTGGTGTTCTCAGGAACAGCAGCAGCAATCTGTCATTAAGCTTTATTTTTTTTTTCTTTTAATGATTTTTTATTATGAAATACACATTTTTTAGAATTAGTTTCAGCTTTACAACACAGTGCAATAGTTATACTTTTTACCCCTCGAAGTGACAACCCCCCTCCCCCAATCCACCGCCCCACTTCCCCCCAATATCATACATATCTATTACAATTCCTTTGACTCCACTCCCACCCTATACTCCACGTCCCATGACTATATATATATATATATATATATATATATATATTCACTTATACTTGACATACAATATTATACAACATCAGCTTCAGGTGTACAGTGCAGTGATCAAGCATATATCTGATAAGGGGTTAATATCCAAAATTTATAAAACACTCATTCAACTCAACACCCAAAAAAACAACCCAGTTAAAAAATAGGCAGAGGATATGAAGAGGCATTTCTCTATAAAGGACATACAGATGGCCAACAGGCATATGAAAAAATGCTCAACCTCACTAATCATTAGAGAAATGCAAATAAAAACCACAATGAGATACCACTGCACTCCGGTCAGAATGGCTATCATCAATAAATCAACAAACAACAAGTGCTGGTGAGGCTGTGGGGAAAAGGGAACCCTGGTGCACTGTTGGTGGGACTGCAGATTGGTGCAGCCATTATGGAAATCAGTATGGAGATATCTCAAAAAACTGGAAATGGAACTACCTTATGACCCAGCAACTCCACTTTTGGGTATCTATCCAGAGAAACCCAAGACGCTAATTCGAAAAAATATATGTGTACCCCTATGTTTATTGCAGCGCTATTCATCATTAAGCTTGTATTCTGTTCTAGGCACTGGGCTAAACACTTTATATTCATTATCTCAGTTAACCCTCACCACACCCCTAGGAGATGAGTTCTGTTGTTATCTCTGTAGATGGGTGATCTCAAAGTGACATTGCTAAGAAATGGAACTGAAAACCCAGTTGCTCTGATTGCCATTTTCCCCTGACAGTTCCTGATAAAACCCAGGCTATTTTTACCCATATTGGGTAAACGTGGACGTTAGTTCATCCTGCTGTCAGGCCAATCTACCCAGTTGAAATTATTTCCCAGCTTCTTGGTATAAAAAGCCAGGATAAAAGGGAAGTGACAGGAAAGAGATGTGACATATTTCAGTGACAAATCTCAGTCTCTAGCTCCCAATGTAAGAAATCTTCTGTAAAGACCTGCTTGCATTTTTTTAAGTGAATTAGGATTTTAAAAAACAGATCACTGTATTATTTAATGCCTTGGAGATGTAATAAAATGGTAAGCATATATATATTATATATATATTATATATATGAAATAGAATGTTTATTCACCACAAAAGAATTAAGTCTGTTATGTGCAACCAAATCTCACTTATTTTCCACAATATATTCTTCATTGTTTTCTGCATCTTCATTCACTTAATTAATTTGCAAACATTCGCTGAGCACCTTTATATATATGCCAGGCACCATGCTAGACACTGGGAATACAGAGAGTAATAAGGTGGGGTCCTTCTTTTAAAGGAGCATCCAGTCTGGTGAGTACAGCTGATACCCAAGGAAGCATCGTTGCTATGCAACATGATAAACACTGTGTGGATGCAGAAGGGGCCCGAGGGCCATGAGCTTGCTTGTGAACAGCGGTCAGCCGTGTGGCAGTTGACTGGTTCTTCGAGGGATTCAGTAGGAGAAAGGCTCTCCAGACTAAAGTAACAGTGTGCATGAGGGCAAGGTCACAGGTATTGAGGAGAGACACGAATGTGGCGGTGTGCCCACTGAGTGGGCAGTGAGAAGAGTGACCTGTGGTGAGATTGGCAGGCCAGTGGGTGACATTGTAAAGGCCATAGGGACCAAGCTGAGGACTTGGCAATTTGTGGGGGCGAACCTACCTCTTCCACTGGAAATTTGGGCAGAGCAATGCTGTTTTCCTATTTCCCAAACTATTCAATTTTCACATGTATATTGGGAGAATAATATAAGTGAGCACATAGGATATAGTTCCATTAATTTTTTTCTACCCTTTCATCTAAAAGGAATCTGTGATGTAAAAATCATAGGATTTTATTTAATTTTCTCCTTGCTTTGGTAGTATTTATGTGATTTTTATCTCATCACCTCTTTTAATTTATAGACTTTTCAAGGGGAAGGACCACGTCACTTATCTTTTTGCCCCAAGAGCATTACACCTATATTTTTTCCTTATTAATGAAATATTTTTATGGTAAAGATTTTTTAGGAAAAAGATGAGAAAACTTCACAGAATGCCACAATATGAAACTAACCACTGATAATATTTTGACATAAAATAGGTCGTATTGCCACTTCTTACTTGATGTGCGTGTCAATGATTGCCTTACAAGGGACTACGGCGTTTGCTGTCCTCAGGCATCAGTGCAGATCCCAGTGGAGTATCCTGTGCAAACCAGTTGCTCAATTATGGGATGCACTGGCTCTGTCAGTCTTTCTTTTCCCCATATTTTGTGTAAACGCTTTGGTATTTATACCCTCTTTTCCATATTAGTTTAATTCCATGTAGATTTTGTGTGTGTGTGTGTGTGTGTTTAACTTTTAAAAATGACCACATTTAAAAAATTTTAGGACCATGTCGAGAAAGATAACCCAAAGCATACCTTTCATGGAATGTGATTTTTATCTTCTGACCCCAATCCTGTGTCTACACAAGCATGGTTGGGTAATTGCTGGATGATTTTGAGATATGCAAGAGGGGAAAAAAAAGAAAGCTCTGACCACAAAGCTGGAAAAGCAGTCAAAGCTGTTTGAATCCACTAAAAATGGATCATTCATTAAACAAATGTAAAAATGATTTTTGTGTTGCCCTGATAGCCGGACCTGCTCAGGCAGGTGAAATGACACTCTGGGACATACATCTCCGGGCCGTCAGGTGCTCTCCTGGTTGGCTGCTCGGCCAGTGCTGACACAGCAGCCTGCCTAGCTCTGCCTCCTTTGTTGTTATTGTTATTGCTTTTCTTTTTCTTGAATGATTTGGCCCACAGCTCTGGTTTCTTTCTAAGTAGTCAGATTATCTGCTCTGGGTCTGTTAGTTTTGGAAGATTTAACTCTAAATGGAAACTGAACCTTTGTTTCACTACCTGATAGATGGAGCCACCAGATAAGTCTTCACTTAAAAAAAAAATCTCTTGCCATTGTGTGGATCTGTAAAAAAACAACCAGATCTGTTTCTGTATTTTCGATCATTTCTGGTGAAGACAAAGAGGCTTGGATGATCTTTATTGACATGTCAGACTTAGTGCCTCCAATTTTATCACTTATAAATGATTGTTAGGTGTTTTTAAATGAATGCTTATTTTTCTGCTTAATATATTATTTGCACTGAACTGGTTTGGGGGCAGAACTTACAAATGCCAGATGTCAGCCGCCTCTGCTTCTTAGCGGAGCAGAAGGTCCGAGAGCCAAGCAGGCTGTTTTGCAGGGTGTATGTGACACGGGCCCTGGAGCCAGCGCACCTGGGTTTGTGTCCAGCTCTGTCTCTCACTAGCAGTGTGACTTGGGACAAGTGACTCAGCTCTCTCTTAGCCTCAGTCTCGCCATCTCTAAAAGGGGGATAACCATAATGTCTACCTTCTAGAGTACCTGTGAAGATTAAATGAATTATGCTGAAAATAGTATCAGACATGTGGTGCTCAGCACACGTTAATTGTTATTTTATCACCAGTATCCAGTTGGCACTGATTGGAAAGTTTACACAGTCACTGTGTGAATGTAATCTTCTTCTGGGTGAAGTAGGTTGGACACTGTAGAGACTTGGGTAGAAAATAAAGGCCTGGGAATTCAGAGCCTGTAGGAGTTTTGCCTGTGGTGTTTGGATAGACAAGGCATTAACTCTCATAACCTAAATTTTTAAAGGTTATGTATTATATGTCTATTGTATCATTTTTAACGGTGATCCCTTTTAAAACAAATACTTTTACCTAGGATATATAAGCAAATAGTAAACATTGGTAAATACAGAGCACAGTCACTAATTGTTGTTAATGTTAACTGTCTCTTCTTATCTTTTAGACAATAAATACATTTAATAAGAGCGATGGCTTTAAAAGGGCTATTAGAACAAGAGAAAACATTTTTCACCATCGTAATTTTACTAGCCTATTTGGTAAGTCAACTCTACTTTTATAAGAATGTGGTGCAAGAATTCATATATGTAGTGCCAACACTATTTTCTATGTCTAATTCCATATTTTAAATTTTTCTTTCAAGTTGCATTTTATAATTGTTACATTTAATTAGTAAGTCAAAAATGGCTGCTGAGTCTGGATGTTTGTAACAATTGTTAAATTATTGTATTTAAATTTAAATGAAGTCATAAAGTCACAGTGTTACTTGCAGTCCCATGAGAATTATTTCCTTGGGTTTACAGGCACATACACAGCACATCCTGGGCCCTAACAAGACCAGAGTCTGATTTGGAACCCATGACTCACACCTTTTGTTTAGTATTTAGAATCGATTTTTAAAGCACTGTTATTTTGTATATAGTTATTTATATCCTTGGTTCCAAAAAGTATTAAGGACAGATGAAAAATGTCCATGTTTGAAAGCTCGACACAAAAGATCTACGAAGGTGTTCAAAAGAATTGAAACTTACTGAGATTGGAGATACAATCATGATCTGCAACTATGAAAATAATTATTTACACTGAAGGCAGTACCCAGAGTCTTCTTGGGAGACAAAATAAGAGGAAATGGGGTCCGGTTGGAGTCAGAGATTCAGGCAGATGGAAGGAGTTTGTTGTTACACACTGGAATGGATGTCTAGGGGGAAGTTGGGGAATGCCTTTCTCAAAGCCATTACCGTCTTGCTGGGGTGGGAAGGCATCTACCTCTCGCAAATCCAATCAGATGCCTCTCAGATTGGTGGTCAAGGGGAGTTAAGAGAGACAGGAGGGGATAATTAAACCTTTAGCCCCAAATCATGCTAGTCCTAAACCCCACCTTGAACTCTCCCTCCTGCCTGCTTTAGAGGTTCAGCTTTGATTTTTCTGTAAGGAGGCTGGCAGACATCATTATAGATATTCCTGCTTCAAGGTGAAGATAGTTTGTACTAAATGGTTAAATGGTAATCAGTAAGAATGTAAGTTCATGTTTACATAGCCCTTTTCCTTTGAAGAGTTCAGAGAGTTTGGCCACAATTGTCATCTTCATCATCAAGAATTTTACTGATCTGATTGTCAGACGGAATTTTTTGAAAGACGATCTCTAAATAAATGCAGTTCAACTGAAAAGGTTGAAGTTTCTACATCAAAACTGGGTGTGAGAGATGTCTAAAGAATAATAGCAAAGTTCCCGTAGCTATACTAATTTATTTTATTTATTTACTTATTCACTGCATTATCCTTGAATATGCTTATATTTCTTGATGACCAAAATATAGTTTTTGAAATCAGAATTTTTCAGATTGCAAAAGAACCTTGGGTCTCTGCATGACTATTCTTTTATACAACCTCTTACTTAAAAAAAAGCATCCCCTAAGTCATTTTGTACCTTGGGTCCTCAGAAATGTATCAGAGGAAGACAGGTGATTCTAAGAAAAAAGGAGACCTCATGCAGGGAATACAGAGAAGAATCAGGCTATTGATTTCTTTGTTCCACTGACTTACTCAAAAAGTAGTTTTTCTTACTATGGTAAAAATTAAAAAGGTCTCACTCTGGTTTAATGTTTGCATTCAGTGATTGTGTGAGTCATACTAATGATATTGATTCTTTCTTGCAAAAAATGTAATTGACTTACTTTGAGATAACGTTTTGTGGAACATTTTTTTCAGGCATGTAAAGTGCTTTGTGAAACAGGGGACTGCAGACAACAGGAATTCAGGGATCGGTCTGGAAATTGTGTTCTCTGCAAGCAATGTGGTCCAGGCATGGAGCTGTCTAAGGTATGGTGCACATGGTGAAGCAGCAGCTCTGTGTTTTTTAAGTGCATTCTTTTTAGCTTAGTTCTTTTAGTTAATTACTAGTGAAGATTTGGACACCATGACAGAATTCTTGGTTCATTATGTCACTGTAGCCAAATATAGCACAATTTTCTTTTCAGATTCATGTGTCTTACTGAGATAAAGGAGATAGGTTCTAATAACCAGGACTCAATAAATGTCATTGTTTTATATAATTTAGTGTTTATCGTATGTCATTGACAGCACAGAGTTACTAAGATTTATCTGCATTAGTTAAAAAGAATCAACATCCTACTAAAGATTTAAAAATAAAGCATTGATAACAGAAAATGGTAATGTTACCATTTACTGGGCTTTCTTTTTCTTAAAATGACCATTACCATTGTTAGTCCAATAGAGCCCAACAGTGTCTTCAGGAACGATGCCCCACGGGAGCAGTTGTTTCCCAAGCCAGGGTTTCGAACATTCTTTGACAATGCAAGTATTATTAATCTCCCCAGGTTGAGTGTATGTCACTCCCAGGAGCATTTTTAAATATATTAATTTTAACCGCTCTTTGTTAAGAAACAGTGTGTTCTAGTATATTTCCAAGTCTTCGATATTCTTGGGCCCTTCTTTTTTGGTGAGCTTGTTCAAAGCTATACATAATCCATTTGCTTCATTTTCTGACCTTTTGAAGATGTTACTAGTTGTGGAGAACTGATGCATCATTTTTTGTTCTAAATGAAGCATCAAAGTCTTCCTGTTAGAAAAGGAACAAAAGATTTTTCTTTTTATTTCAGACTTGTAAAAAGAGAAGCCCGTTTCCCTTAAAGACTGCCATTATTTAAAGTTGAGTCTTGGCATTCACAGATTTTTGATCGATGACCTACAAACAGCAGGCAACAAAGATTTATGCATTCTACAAGTAATTCCTAGTGTATGGCCTCTCTCTGGTTGTTGAGTTAGATAAGGGGTGGCTTTCAGTGTCCTAGGCTTTCCATTTGGATTGAAACTTGCTGACCTTCGAACTCTTTGTGATGTCTAGTTAACCATAGCATCTCAGCTGATATTTTTTAATCTGTGGATTGTAGTAACATACATTTTCAGACATAGATTTTGCTCTGTTGGGTGTATAAAGATTCTTTATAGAAGATCTGCATGTCTAGAATCAGTGAACAAAGTAATTAAAAAATGTGATAGGGCCCAAGAGGAAAATAGACAATGATGTTTCTACCCCTCAAAAGCTCTTCTTTTCCCAACTCTCTGTGAAAACCTGAATGAAACTTTACAGATAAGTAAATCATTTCTGAGAAAATGCTCTCTAACCTTCCTTTGAATCCAGAGAATATAACCTCAAAATAATTTCTGGAGAATCAGAACAGAGGATGAAGGTCCTATCAGCTCTAATATTTTTTTTAATTTTAAAAAATCCATCTTCTGAGATTCTCTGATAACAGTTTTCATATTTCATAATGTTCCATGGATATCCAGAAGAAATCTTTTTCTCTAGGTAGCAATTTTCCCTGAGCATTGAAATAGCAACTGAAGGGAAGCAATTCAAATAATTCTCCTTTACGTACTCATTTATTCTTCACTTACAAAAAAAAAAATAGGACAAATTGAGAAAGAGTAAAAGTAAAGGTAATATGTCACTGAAATGTTAGATTCTTAAGACCCACTTGGATGCACAAATGTCTAAATAGAGTACCTAGCTCTTAGCAGACACAGTATATCTTTACTAAAGGAGTGAACAAATCAGTCAGCCTTCGGTAGTTTGAGGGGGGAAAGGTGACAAATTTGGTAATATAAAAGTTAATGAATGTGTGTGTGTGTGTGTTATAAATAAGATATTTCAGCAAGTCTTTTATCTGGGTGTTAGCTCATTGCAAATAAAATTAGCAACTGAGCGTGGCCCATGCTCTAAGATGCAAAACATGAGAGGCAGAGGTATCAAACATGCCAATGGAAGTATCAATATATTTTTATTTCCCAATTAACTAAGCGAAGCAAAGAGCTTGAGTTTTTTATAAGCAATTACTTTGGAGCTGGAAATTTCTAAACTGTCCACTCACAAATTTGCAGTTCCTTCTTTTCAGGCTGCCTTTATTAAGTTTTTAGCAATAACTGACATCTTTCACAGGAAAGAAAAGTAAGTTTTGAATATACTAAAATCAGACAAATCCTTTAAATTAACAAATATACTTAACTGGTTAATTATCACTTCAGTGCTTTACAAGTCAAGGGGAAATTTATTCTTTGGACTAAGACTAAATTGTTTTTTAATTGTCAGATAACTACACTTATAAATAATCTAATTTCTTTTCACTAGGGATGCTAAATTCATTACAGTCATATATATTATCCTTCTCTTCCCTGTTTAAGACATACTGAAATGTGGCTTGTGTCACTAAAGAACTGGAGCATTTCTTTTCTTTCATTTTCATTAATTAAATTTAAGTTGCACCACATGAGGTTATGGCTGTGGTATTGGACAGTGCAGCTCTAAAATGATGATGTTTCCTCCAGAAGTTCTGATTGAGGACCAGCGTTTAGAACAGAGAGCTCTCCAAATCGTGTGGACGCAATGCTCAGTGCACATGTGCAGTGCAGGAGCTGCCTCCCCGCTCAGCTTCCCTCCTCTCCTCCCTTCTCCCTCCGCGTCCCGGCCACTGGTTTCCCGACACCCACCTGTGTCTGTTCTTCCACAGCTCCTGTTTGGTCTTGCCCTATGAGAGCCATCCTCACCTCAGGTGGCTCCTAACCCCAGGTGGCGCCCTCCCTGTCCCCAGTGTGCCATCCTGAGCAGTCTCATCTCATTAGCTTTTTGGGTTACCAGTTCCCTCCCTGAAGTCCCCAAGCATATCATCTGTTCTCATTTAGGTTCTTGTTAGTATGTCGGCTTAATAAGTAGTGTTCTTGTATCTTTGGGGAAAATCTATGACCTGCCCCTGAGCCAATTGGAGTCTGTTTTGAGGATTTTATCCATTGAGCTGTCTTTAGTTTTCCTCTCTTCCCCTACAGGGTTTAGTTTTTGAAAGTTTATGAGAGAAATAATTGATGATGTCTTTTTCCTATTTCTGAGGCAAAAAAATACAAAATGTAGTTTACATTGCTCCATAAGTCATATGTGCTAGGTATTTTTAGTGGTGAATGTGGGTAGGAGTGTTACACAGCCATGCTTTGGGCTCATGTGAATAAACACCACTGGGGTATGTGGGAGAGGATGCGTTTTGCTTTCCTGAAGTGACCACATTAGACTTTCAATTCTTACTGTCTAAAATTTGCCCAGCCACAGCCCCTCCTTCTTACCGACTATTAATGCCAACAATGGGCTTTTAACATGATCGCCTCCCAGCAGTAAATCAGGAAACTGGTTTTTGCTTGAACCACTTGAAATAGACTTCAAGTCTCTGGCATGATTTTCAAAGTGAGCTTTTCTAACCAATTATTGGGATGACTAGTTAATGTGAAAAAAATGAACTCATAAACAACAACACCCTTCCCTCCACACGGGTGCATGTCCAACTTTCTATTTTTAAAGACATCTACTTTCTGGAAAACTGTTTTCATCCACATGAAGAAAGTCACCCCCCAAAATTAATATAATTTGCAAGCATAAAAAAGGATTCATTTTTGCCATTTAATTAGAGTGTTGCTCACTTTATTTATGTTTAATTATACCTAATCAAGCCCAGTGATGTTTGGCAGATATTAACAAGCTCTGGCTTGTATGTTTTCTTTAAAAAACTCAACTGCAGATTTTCATAAACTGAAAGTTGGGGGAAAATATGTCTTTAGTGTTGTTGTATGAAAGGAAATTAAAAAGCTGATATCTAAACACTAGCCACATAAATCTAATTTGTCGTTCCACTTGTGCGCCCTCGATTTTCTCCACAAATAACTTCTTCTCTGTCCAAATTTGAACTTTTGAAGTTCAAAGAACCCAAGTTAATAACTTATTGGCTGTACAAATAAATAGTGCTTTCGACCCAAGGCCCCAGAATGTGTTTCCTGGACACCTGATGGCTTGTGAGGCTCTCCCCTGTGGTCTGGGGAGCTGCTCCTCGAAAATGTACGTGGGATCCGCTTGTGTTTTTAGCAAGGGCTGGATGTGCAGAGGGAGAAAAGGGAGAAGGGGATTTGAGGACTGTTTACTTTGAGTCATTTTGCTACTGCAAAGCCACCAAATGTGGCTTAAAAATATTGGGCAGAGTGACAGAGCTACTGCTGCTGCCAGCTTGGGTGGAAGCAGCCCAGCTGGACCCCGCGTCTCTTGCCTTGGAGCCACAGCACAGAAAGCTGCCCCCACCGCACCCCCGCCAGCCCTGGAGGCCATTTGGCCTTACCAAGTGGGAGACGTTGGCTGTGGCCTTTACAGAGTTTTGCTCCTTGGAATAAAATAATAACAATTCTCTGGAGTAAAATAAGAATACTAACAACAACTTTAGGAAACAGTGCCTTAAACAACATATATTCTCCATTTGTTTATTCGGCAAGTACTTATTACTCACCAGCCTGTTACGCACTATTAAAGGAAAAAATATTTATTGACCCTGGATGAAAACAGTCAGGCAGACTTTATTCAGGACCTTCGCAGTAGGTATAGGGACCATATAGGGACCACTACAATGGGATTTTACAGTGCGGAGAGTGGGCTCAACTCCAAATGCAGCACGGGCAAGGGGGGATTTAGAACCAAGGAGCAGGGTGGATAGAAAATTACCAAGAGGAAATATCATGAGTAAGGGAGTCCCTGGCTAAAGCTGACCGAACAGGATTCTTTGCAGAATGCAGCCCAGGGTGGCCAGACATCACCTGGGGGATGGTGGAGGGTGAGGAACCCCATCATACATGGAGGGTGGGGGGTTCTGGTTAAACTGACTTGGGGGGGACTTGCTAAAACTGGATTTTGAAGGGAGTGCACAGGTGGGCCTGGGAGAAGGTCCAGGAGCCTAAGAATCCTTGTCAGTACCAGGTACTATGATGGGCTTTTGGGAAAG